GAGAGAGGAGAGAGAGAGAGGAGAGGAGAGAGAAAGTTTGTAGTTAATGCCCAATGCATATATCACATCAGAGTAGACTGCTCAGGTCAGAGAATTTGCTGATTTGCTGACAGAGGCATAGAGAACCTTATAGAGAATGAAACATAAGATTTAATATGAATTCAAATACAACAATGTACTTCTGATATAAGATGGAAGAAAGGGGCTGACTGGTTTAGAAGATATACACAAGATGGATTAATAAGAATTCTACTAAAATCCTTGAAGTCAAGTTTCCAAATGCAGAGTTTTTTGTATGTTTTTTAGAATGTAAGGTATACTAGTTATTCTTCTAACAATTATGAAACACTAAAGTTCAGACTTGTGCTGCATCTTCTGAAGATAATCTGTGCTTCCTGAACCTAACAAGTACCCATCCAAGTCTACAAATTCATCTTCATTTAACCAATGATGTTCTCTGTTCCATAACTCAGTCACCATTCCCTAAAATTGTATGTGTATACACCACTTTCAAGCATGTGTATAGGTAATTCACATATGTATGTGTAATTTAATGTAATGAATGCTTACCATTGGTTTACCAACATGTCTGGGTTGGCAATGGAAATTACTAAGGTAGCAACAGTTACCAGAAGGATACTCAGAGTAATTCATATCTTATTGGCATTGTAGTCCTCTACACTCTGTCCACTCCTTAAATACATTTCATTGTATGGAAAGATTATATATTTTATAAGGTTTCATATTTTGCAAGTAAATACTTAAAATGAAGGTCACAGCTAACTCGGGGACTTATGTGTTAATTAACCTGCACATTATGTTACATGTCTCTACTAAATGATAGGAATTAGTTTATAATTTATTGATATAGCCAGGATTATGTTCAGAATATTTTACCAATAGTTGTATGAACAGCAATTGTCCAGAACAATGACCAAAGTACACCCCATAAATGGTTGAAGCAGTAAGTATAGGCTCTGTGCCATGAGCTTACCATTTATTTAGTAGGGAAGATCTTTGGGCAGGATGTGGTTCCCTTTGGTATGGAATGTGACCAAATGAGAATGAGTGTGGTGATATTTTCTTTGTGTACCCCAATAAAGCTTACCTGAGTATCAGTGGAAAAAGCCAGGCACTATAGTAAACATAGAGGTCAGGCAGTGGTAGAACACGCCTTTAGTCCTATCATTCAGGAGGCAGAGATCCATCCAGATCTCTGTGAGTTCAAGGCCACACAGGGAACAGAGCCAGGCTTGGTGACACATGCCTTAAATTCCAACACTAGTTAACCATAAATGTCTGGAGGTCCGTACAGACATACAGGAAGTAATGCAGCTGGGCGGAGAAAGGAAATGAGATAACAGAACAGAAAGGCATATAGGTGTGGGTATACAGGAAGTAGGTCTCTTTGGAGACTGAGGTGTCGGTGAGGTGAGGTTGTCTGTGGCTTGTCCTATTCCTCTGATCTCTCAGCTTTTCACCCCAATATCTGGCTCTGGGATTTTATTAATAAGATTTTCTTATAAGATACTCTTACAAATGAGTAAGCCACATGTCATACTATTTCAAATCATCTTTGCAGCTTTTCCTATGTTTAGACTTTTGTCTACTCCACTATTCTTCCATAATGATATACTGAACATTAATACTGTTAATATCTACCCATCAGAAGATATCTATTAGCAGGGATTTTGTAAATACAAAATTAAAGAGGGCATAATACATATATTTATAAAAGCTTCTTACAAACAATGGTTTAAGGCCTTCGAAAAATCTACCTAATTCTTTTAAAAATACTTTATTGATTCTTTTAAAATTCCATACATGTGTACAAAGTATTTTTATCATATCAGTCTACTACTACTACTCCCTCCCAACTTCCCCTGTTGTCTCCACGTCTGGCCCCCTCCTAACTTCATGTCTATTTCTTTGTTTTTAGTTACTATGAATTCATTCAGTGTTTCTCCAATGTGCATGGGTGTGTGACCATCCATAAGGAATAGGCTTACCAATATCCACATCTGTTACGGGAATTCTGTCACCAGTATGCTGGCCAATTGAAAAGAGCATTTTGGTCCAAGAGGTGGGGCTTTTATTGGGGATGGACTTGACTGAAAAATAAAAAAAAAAAAGCGGTATGCAGACATGGTGATCCTTGGAACTTCTTGGCCAGCTAGTTTGCTGAATTACCTAGCTCCAGGATCAGCAAGGTATTAGGCTTCAAAAAACTATCATGACGAGTAATTGAAGAAGATACCCAAATGCCAGCATTTGGCATTCACATGAACACACACACACACATACACACACACACACACACACACACACACACACACACACACACACTACACTCACATGTACATGTGCACACAGGTGAGTGTGCATACAAACATACAACACATGCATAAAAATCTACAGTCAACTACCAACAACTCTTATCTACAAATTCTGTGATTTTTAATTCAGATTGAATTGAATTGAATTGAATTTAGATCTTGTAGAAAGAAGTCAATGTTTGAGATTAGTACCTTTTTCAAATAGGGCATTCGATTTTTAGCTGGGAAGCCACCATTAAAACTTCCCTGGTCCTTTGTTACTTTCTTTCAAAATCTTTTATCTGTAAGAATTATGTTAATACTAGTTCATGAATCATATGTTGTGTTTAATATAGGTTCAGAAAATTCTAGTTTCTCAGAAATAGTGATCAAAAGCCTAAAAAATTCCTAGACACAGTGAGCTTTAGGAAGAAATAACTTTAAGGTTTCATTCATGCAGATTTTTTATTTTAACACATTAGCGCCTTCAGACCTTTCAGGGTATTAATCAATGTTTCTTGCTGTATTTAAATCACAAAATTTGTCCTAGATACAAAGTTTATTATTGTAAATACATATATTTTTTCTTATAATATTTATTGATAAAAAGAATAAATGAGAAAGCAACTCCTATTGTGTAAACTAAAGCTCTCTTCAGGCCTCCTGATAGGAAAAGAAATAAAATTATGTACACATACTTTCTAGACCCTATAGGTATTCTGTGATTTCTAGAAGATTCAACTCATTTACTGTAGTGTGGCATTCATTTTATGGTTTTGTTTTGTTTCATTTTGTTTTTATGTCTGTCATTGGAATTAAGCAGCAAGGTGGTGCATTGCAGATAGTGTTGGCTCTGACTATTTCCCCTAGATGGCGATATTTTCCAAGAAGCTCTACAGGCACACACAGCCACTATTTTTTCCCCTTTGATTGGAGCTAGTGCTAACACAAAAACCTTACACCAACTACTGTTTTTATGTCTCGGTGGAGGGGGTACAATTTTGAGACGCAACATGAACAATATGATTTTAAAATCTTTTCCTGATTTTCTGAAACCGTAGAGATGCGTGTTGTGTACTTTAAACCTTAAATACAAGTATTTCAAGAAAAGCTATTTCAATGGCATTTATTCTGAGATTTTTGTTAATTATGGAAAAGGCTGTGAAAAAATTATAATTATACTTGAATGTTAGTTTCTGGGCTAAATGCCATGGATCCTTTCATAAACCTTGCAATGTTTATTAGTCACTTTAGATTGGCAGTGGGTTTCTCCTGCTGGCCTCTGTCAGTCTTTCAAAACATTTGATCACATTCATTTATGTGTGTGAGAGAGAGGGGGAGAGAATGAGAGACACAGAGACAGAAATGAGACAGAGAGACAGAGGCGTGAGAGACATGGTTTGTGTGTGGCGGTCACACGCAATCTGTCGGCTCTTTCCTCCCACTATGTGGGTTTGGGGGATGGGACTGTCACCTTGCCAGTGTGCACACATACCTCCTGAGCCATCTCACCAGGCCTCTGTTGCTCTTTTGTGACCCTTCTTTCACGTGCTCAGTTATCTGCTGAGTGAGGAGAGGCCCTTACTTTGGTAAGGGTGAGCCTGCTTAACATTTGAGGTTTTTCCATGGTAAATGGAAAGTAAGAAACAATAGTATGTAAAATAGTTAAACCACTTAGAAGTAGAGGTGATGTGGGATTTAAAACCTGCATAAAATTCAGAAACCTAAGCTATTTCTTTCCTTCTGAGCGTCTCCTCAGTTCAACATCGGACTCTCTTAAGACATCCCACATGCTTGGTGTGTCCAGGCCTCACCTTGTCCTCCTCTGCTTTGTAACTTCACCTTTTGTTTTTGCCTTGTTTTTCAATTTTCCACTGTTCCACCCAAGGCTTTCACCTTCAAGGGACGTGGAGATCGACAAGAGGAAGCATGGCTGTAACTTCTTCTCCTAAACCTGGGACACAGCGCTTTGTTGAATCCCATCATCCTTCAAGGGGGGAGAGGAGAAATTTGAATTAGGTAACAGCATGCTTATAGTCTTTTGCAAGGAAACTAAACATACATCATATACTGAGCATCTAGGAAGCAATAAGTACAACCTCCATTTTTTAGATAAACCTTAAAAGAAATTAAGGTCTTGCATCCGAGTTAACAAGTCAGTAACTGAAACTGTGCCACCCAAAGCTGGTTTTTTGTTTTTGTTTGTTTGTTTGTTTGTTTGTTTTTTTGGTTGCTTAAAACTCAATAGGTTTCTCTTCTAAGCAGCCTCGTAAAATGAAAACCAGCCCAGGCCCACGTCTGTAATCTCTGCACCTGAGAGGTAGAAGCAGGAGAATCTTGAGTTCAAGGCCATTCTCTGTCACACAGTGAAGTTCTAGGGTGCCCTAGAGTTAAAATTTCTGCAATGTTCCAAAAATTAAGAGACTATCTAAAAAAAAAAAAAAGAAAAAGAAAAAACAAATAATAATAAACTACAAGTAGAAAATAATGAGACCTCACCTCTTCCTTGCTCTGCTGTGGTCTCTGTGTGCATAACTGTACCTTGAGGCTCCATCTGCATTCGGCCAAAGAAACTGCTTCCCATTCAAAGTGAAATTTCTATAAATAGACCACTGGTGAAGATTTACTGAATCAACTTATATGAACCTTTCAGCTTTTCTGTCTTGAACCCTGAGTTGGGGCCTTTGCCAGTAAGATGACCATTGGGGGTTCAGTGCACTCAAGAAAACTTTGGCCTAGTTCCATTTGGAACGTTGACAGGGCACCCTCCCTGTCTCTCACAAATGCTTCCTTGGCAACTGCTCAGAATGTCAAGTTCCTCAGCCCCCACACTGTCAATGTGTTCCTCCGTCCTCTGTGTGATCACTGATGAGCTTTCTAGCTGGTTCCCAGTGCCATTCTTCAGTGTCTTCTCTGGGAGATATGGACACCTCATATCAGGCCCAGAGACACGGTCCATGAGGCACAGCATAAAGCTCCAGTGTTCTATGTACAAGAGTAGGGAGAAAGCTTTTTCCTTCTTTTGTCACTTATCTCATGATTTAAACTAAGTCGATGAATGCCTTTCTTTCCCTGTGTATGGAAATGAACATGAGCAGGCAAATGCAAACCTCACAAACACCTATGTCTGGAACACAACTCCAGCTGCCAGAGAGAGAGAGAGAGAGAGAGAGAGAGAGAGAGAGAGAGAGGAGAGAGGAGAGAGAGGAGACTGAGGAGAGAGAGGGAGGAGAAAGAAAGCATATACACACAGAGAGATAGTGTACATTCATGCATGTGCATGTGCACACACACACACACACACACACACACACACACACACACACACACACACACACACACACAGGGCCTGAGGGGGTAGGTGGCAGGCTCTGGAGAGAGATGGAGGCAAGAAGTCATATGAGGCAAGTTCTGATGTCTTAGTACATTCCCAAGTATTTTACCAGATGTCACTTCCAACACAAAATCAAAGATAGTATTGTCAGGAATTTCAAGAGAATGTTCACAGAGCATGAGTCCCCAAGTTCTGAGTTCTTTTTATGATAATGAGGATGTGTTTAGGGAGGCCACGTTTCAGAGCATCAAGCACAGTTTGAAGCCAGGCTAGCTCCTTTCAGGATGCTTCCCCCTGCATTTTCTCTGCCTTTGCTCTGCTCAGCTCTCTGTACCCTAGATAACATGCTCCTCAGAAAGACTTGATTGGAAGCTTTTCGCTCATGAGAACAAGGGTGCCTCCCTTTAAAGCATTCCTGCAACACTCATGTAAATGAGCTGTATGCCATGCTGGGTCTCTTCACTTCTCCTTTTCACCCATTGGCCTGATGTTAACTGCTTCACCTCTGACATTTTCTTCCCCTCTTCTGTCATCCTCTTCACTGTGCTGACCACCCACAGCTGGGTTGACACCACAGGGCCCTTGGCCTCTGCCTCATTGCTCTTTGATTTTAATCAGTGATTCTGTGATCCTATCCTGGGCCTTTTTGTGACAAGGATCCCTTAGAGCAGTGGTTTTCAACCTTCCTAACGCTGGGACCCTTTAGTACATTTCTTTATGTTGTGGTGACCCCCAACCATAGAAGTATTTTCATTGCTATTTTAGAACTATAATTTAGCTACTGTTATGAACTGTAATGTAAATCTCTAATATGCAGGATATCTAATATGTAACCCCCGTGACAAGGTCATTCGATACTCCAAAAGGATCATGACCCACAGGTTCAGAACCACTGCCTTAGACAAATAAAATGTCCAGTATAAACTTCTTTGCCAGCTTCTTTTTTGCTTGTTTTTCTGTTTAGTTTCTTTTACCAGCTCTTCTTACAAAGACAAACTTTTAGGGAAGAGAAATGGGTTCATTGGATATGGAAATGCAATAGTTATTTCCTTTTGAAGATCAAATTGCCACACATAAAATTGTCTGGTGTCATATACATCACAGGTTTGTAGTTTTTTATGTTTTTAATATTATAACCAGAGTCCAAAAATCATAAATATTTACTTGTATACACACGAATGTATATATTCATATGTACACACAGATAAAACATCTCCCTCCCTCCCCCCCCCCCCCCCCCCTCCCCCCCCCCCCCCCCCCCCCCCCCCCCCCCTCTCTCTCTCTCTCTCTCTCTCTCTCTCTCTCTCTCTCACACACACACACACACACACACACACACACACACACACTTCCATTCTGAAAATTTGATAATGTAAATTCACTTGACATTCTTCTTTAATTTTACTGAAGGTCTCAGACCCATTACTCACTTATTTTTTTCATGCTGTCATTTTTCCCCCTTCATTATTATGAGTAGCATGCCTGAACTTCATGATATATCATTGGAACAACTTTCTTGAAAATATTTTATTTTCTTGTCTCTTGTCTTCCTTTTGAAACACCCCAGCAAAATACAAATGCTGGGTCAAAAATATTGATCCAAAATGCTATATGTATTTCATCTAGGTTTTTCTAATATGATCTTCACAATGTGACCTATTGATATGAATATAATTACACACAATTTACATGTGAGCAAAACAAGAGATAACCAATTTGAATGATTTGTTTGTGTTCTCTCCTATGTATAATCTGTGGCTTTGAATTGTCTTTGTAAAAAAGTAGCATTCAAAGATGTTAAGTGAGATTTCTTGGCCCTACTCAGAAGGTGGGAGGGTTTGCATATGGCAAAGGAAACTGTATGTTCAGCTAACTCTGCACAGGGTTCTGAAAGGGACATTTCGTAAAGTTTTCTAGAATTTTAATATTCTTATTGCAGCATTTCCTGTTCTGGGAAGAGTCTCTAGCAGGATAAGACATGGTGGAAGCATCCATGTTCCATTTTAGGGTTCCCAACAGTCCTGTCAACATTGCCATATTTAGAGCAAAATAAGATTAGAATTGTCTGTGTCCAAAACCACACTGGCCTTGAAAGGTAAATCATACAATTCATAAATACCAGCTGTTGGATGAAAAAGATCTTTTATTTAAGTTGTCAACCCAATTTGAAAGCATCGTATTAATTATTAGTAAGTTTAATGCTTTATTCCTTTTCACTACTTTGGATCACTGTGACTTAATATAAAAATATTCAAGTAAACTACAGTATAGAAACCGTTGATAAATTTTTATCTCTGTTTTTAAACAAGTAAAACTTTTGCACCAAATACCCTGCATAATAACACACAGAGACTGTAAGAGAAACACCAAACATTGTAAATTCTTACAAAAGAAATCTTACCAACACTTTATCCATAACTGAAACAACTCACAGTTTGTTTTACTTTAATAATCTGTGATTTTTTTGGCTTGCTACTTATGTGTTGTAAATAGTATTGCATTTGGAAGTCAGGAATCCTGTATACATTGTAGGGACTTCCATTTTCCCATGATTCCCACTTTGCATGTTAACCATAGTCAACTGCACTCATATGGCCAAGTCCTCAGTGTGTGTGAGGCAACTCTGAAATGTTATATTCCATTTCTTTATTTCCTTCTGTCAGTGGTTGCTTTATTAGACATAGGCAGCTGGGAGAGCATATGTTTCTTTGAAAGAAACCTTTAAAACTCAGAGATCACATTTTCAAAATGCACCAGGGTAAGTTTTAGTTCTTATAACATATCTGGAAAGATTCAAAAGTCAACAAGCAAGAAGCCTCATTCCACTCTTAAAGACACATCAAATTAAGAATAAAACCAAGGGCTGTTTTCATTACCTTTTACACTTTCACACAAATCATTTTAATTAATCAATGGCGCTGTATTTTCTCATTTAAAATGAAATTAATTTTATTTGTCATGCTTGTATTTGACTTGCCGAGGTACCTTTTGACAGGACATTGTCATCTACCAATGGGTTGGGCTCATTTTTAGCTGTCCTGAAATGTATTCAGCCTGTAAGCCATAAGTTACACATCCAGTAAGAGCATGCACTTTCAGAATACATGAAGAATAAAAAGAATAAAAGCATATTGAAAAAGGTTGAAGGCAACGCATGGGAGCCAAATAGGGTTTGCTAGGCATCCTTATGTCTACACATCACACACTTCCTGTTTAATCTTCACAACCTGCTCAGTAGAATGTAGAGAGTATCCTTAAAGAAATTGTACCAAGGCCCTGGGAAATTTAATGCTTTGCTTAAATTGTAATAGGAAATGACGTGAAAGTAAATTACACAGCTTGGCCAGCAAGACCTATTGATTACACTTCCCAGTGGACACAGGCTAACCACTTCATCTTATGGCCACCAGTTATTGCCTGGACTGTTTTGGTAATTCAACTCTTCTCCTATTTTTGCCTTTTGTCTCCCTACAGTCTGTTCCTAGCACATAAGAGGGAGCCGGGAACATTTGTCAGCTCATTCACACCTCTCCTCAAAACTCTCAAATTCCTAACTCATTCAGAATAAATGTCAAAATCCTTAACGTGTTATAGAGCCCATGCAGCATCTGGGTTCCTATTTGTGATTCTGTCTCTGGCTTCCATGTCTTAGCATTTTGTCCTTTGCAGGCTATAATCTAGCCACACTGTCCAGCTGCCTACTCTGATTTTCTGCAATGCCCCAGTCTACAAATGTTCTTCAGAAGTTTGGTGTGAATCTATTTTCTCCATAATAAAGTCACCTGTGTGATCTTTTCATCGACTGCAGATGTTTGGTTAAAAGCCATCTCCTCAATGAAGCTTTACCTAAATTGCCTCACACCCAGCCATCATGCTTGGAACTCCCCTTCACTTATAGTTTTCTCCTCATCCTGTATTTAAATTTAAACAGGTTCTCCCATCCCCTCACCATCAAGTAAGTATGAGGGAAGGTACTCACTCACACATTTGTGTGTATCACCATATTCGGAATGTGGCCCACAGTTGAGTCTTTTGAAACTATGGTGGCATCCGTCTCACCAAGTTAATTACCTTTGCTGTGAATCAGGTGATGCTGCCACAGTCGGGTACCACTCCAAAGGAGCCACTGTGCACTTCAGATGTTCACATTTCAAGACACAGGCTGGTGAGCTTTTCTCTTCTGCTACTGACTTACAATTCAGTTCCTCCATGTGCTCAACTCTACATCTCCACCCCCCCAAATTCTTTTCCTGAGAACACTCCTCAACGGGCTTCTTGTAAGCATGTTTTATATCATAGTTACTCCCTGCGATACTCAATCTGGACCCCAGTACCTTAGAAAACCATGATATTCAATAGAAATCTCAATAAATACCTTTTTGAACACAGGTGGCTGTATGAATGCAACAGAAAGATAATTGAAAATCTGTGAGTGAAAGGTAATGTTCCCGAATTCCCATTCTTTTCTTCCTGTGACTTACAGCAATGGTGCATATCCATGAGAGAAAGGACAACAGCAGCTATTTTTTTCTTCTGAGAATTTGGGGAAGATAAAGCATGAGCAAGGTACATAATATAAAACACTTAAAATCTCCATCCTCAGACTTGGAATTTAAAGTAATATTAGGTCCTATTAAACTGTTATTGTTACTGTTTACAAAAGCAATGGGATGATCAACTCTTCTGTCTAATTCATTTTTTTGTTTGTTTGTTTGTTTGTTTAGCTTAGTTCAAATCCTTCACCAGGAGAAAATCCCAACAAACATCCAAGTGAAATGTTTTTTGTTTTTTTTTTTCCATGTGGGAGCTAAATTTAGAAATATGAAAATAATTGCGTTGTACAAAGTTTAAACACATTAAACAAAACTATAGTTAATGTCTAGATGAAAGAAAACAAATGGTGCTATACACCAATAACCACTGCAAATCCGGTGAAGAAACCAAGAAGGGTAAGCAACGGAGCCACCCACGGCTAGGCTAGATTATGCAGCTCAAAGCCTCAAAGCAGTTGCTTATCTTACTGGCTGAAGTAAATATGGATGCAGGACACTTCATGTTCTACCACTGAATTCTGTTCCAGTATTTTACCACTTGCAAGTCTCAGGAAACTCTCTTTTAAATCATCCCTAATGTATTTCTAGAACTTTAATTTATTTCATGAAGTTTTGGCCAGTGTTCTAATGTGCGACTACTGATCTCTGTCCTTTAAGCCTTAATTTAAGTACTTTAATTAATCCAATACTATTTTTATTGAGTCTTGGGCCAAGTGTTGGTCTGAAATTGATGGCAATTTTTAATCCATGGTCCTCTTTGGTGTCCTCTGACCTCCATGGAGTCCCAGAGTCCCCTTCATCTTCTCTAATAGTCGCATTTCCATTTTGTTGATCTTCTTTGAATGAAATCCAATTTCTCTACAACTTTCATAAATACTTCAGCAAAGGCTTGATTATTGCCAAATATGGAAGCAAGTTTATCATGATAAACTAGACCAGCTTCTATTAATATATCCTAGCATGATGTTAGCTTTTAAAATAATTGCTTTATGCTGCTGAATCATCTAACTTTTATTACATGAAAAGTTCAAAGCATTTTTCCCTTAACACTTGTGCACACTGAAGTTTTCCCTTCTTAAATCAGTCAAATCTGGACTTTATTTCTTACTGTAATTTTTCGTTTAGTTGTATTAAACTCTAGTTTTTTCATAACTCTTGGCATACATACTTGCTTGAGTTAAATATCATTTTTTTCAATGTGGAAATGAATGATTCTTGCCCCCTTCCTGGTTTGGCTCAGGGTAGTTCATCCAATTTGCCTTCTATTTCACAAACCAGAAATTGTGCTAGATATTTAAAAGCTAGCAAAATGTAAATACAGGCATTAATTTTCTAGAACTGACTAAAATGTGCTGAATTTCAAGTGCCAAGGTAGAAGAATGAACCAAAACCAGAAGGAAGATGTAAAATGAGGTTTGGAGGGCAGACTTTCTGATGAAGATAATGCTAAGCTGAGCTTATTTAGGTTAAGTGTGAACTAATTAATATAGAGCACAGGAGTATTGCTTTCCAGAGAGAAGAATCCATGCAATTAGAAGTTTAGGCTACACAATAATAAACATATGTGGCAATACTAAAGAGTTTCTTTTTAAAAACCTGTTTTATATGCATATGTTTTGTCTGCATATATGTCTGTGCACAACATGTGTGCAGGCCTGATGCTTGTAGAAAGCAAAAGATGATGTTAGGTCCCCTGAAACTAGACTGAGAGACGGTTGTGAGCCACCATGTGGTTGCTGGGATGCAGACGAAGATCTTCTGTAAGAACAGTAAATTCTCTTAACCACTGAGTCATCTCTCCCACCGTGTTAAAAAGTTTGTTTCTTAACAGTAATGGAACATGCAAGTGGGTAGAATAATGAGGAGCTTAATAAACAACATTCAACTACATGAATTAACTAATAAAATATATTCTCTTCAGCTCCAATGCAATTGCTAGTATATCCAATCATTAAATACAGGTTTCATCACTATATACATGTTCCAGATTTGTTTTTCTCTTTTTTATTGAAAATAGATTTTTTTCACATAATATATCCTGATTGTTAATTCATCTACATGTTAAATCATAACTTTAGAAACAATACTGCCAGCCAGCACTTTTGTGTTCACCCAAATAACTCATGGAACAGTGGTAAGTTTTATTCTCCAACCTGTACATTTCTAGGAGAGACCAGAAATATATTTCTGAAATGATGTATAGTGACCTGAGCACAAGAAAAGAATGACATGCATTGTGTGGAAAACACTGATGCTAGGTGTATTTCCTCGGGCAAGGGTTACAGTGCAGTAAGTTCAACATTAATGAGGCAAAAATCCGTACGAAACAAGATATATTTGAATAGAAACAAACACATCTTTACATATTCACTGATTTGTCAAAAATCCTGTGACAACTGGTTGGCAGAAATGACTAGCAGCAGTGGCTCACCATTTACTAATTCAGCATTTTCAGTTACTTGTTAAACATAACTACCGTGGATAATGAGAATCAACTGCATATTATGCAATATGCCAGCTGGTAAAGAAGAAAGCAATTAAAAAATGCTAAGGTAACTAGAAGTAAGATGCATTTCCAAACAAAAGCATGACAGTGCCTAAACTTGCAAATTACATCAATATGAGGGTAGAGAAAGACATCCTCTTAGATTTTTAAGTCTGTTGTCAGCATTGCCAAGCAACTCTTAATTTTGGTCACTGCAGCCAATGAAGTTCTTCAGTAAATTTATTACCTGCATTAAAGATGTGAGCATGATGTGTGTCTCTGCTCAGGTGAAGAAGTTGCCGTGCATTTGTAAGAGTCAATCAAATTTTACGACTGATGAATATGGTGGTGATGATGCTGATAAGTAAAGGCATAAAGGTGTGTGAGCAAATGATGCATGCTCATCGGGAAGGAAGCAGCTGCAATGTAAACTGGGAAAGCACACGTTTTCAGGGTAATTTCAATCCAGATAGATAAAGTTGACAGTCACTGACATGTTTCTGCATGTATTGCTCTGAGCTATGATCACTTATGCAGAGCACGGCCTCTGTAGATAAGTTTGCAGTCTACTGAATTTTAGAGGTTGAGGCAATTATTTACTATGATGAAAATTAAAATGGGAGGCGCAAAAAGAAGATATTAAAATGCAGTGAGGAAAAAAAATCACTGGTGATTGAAATCATGCTTAATAATATCGACAAAACTAAACAGAGAGATGCTCTGATCAGGTTAATGGGACTCAGAATTACCATGGAAACAAACCTCTGGGCAAGTCTGTGAGAATTTCTACATTGAATTAGTTGATGTGGGAGAGCCACACTAAGTGTGGAAAAGCACAGATTCTATGGGCTGACATCCTGGACAGCATAAAAAGGGGAAAGTGACCTGAGCATTGTCATTGTCTCTGTTTCCTGACTGGATGTAATGTGACCAGCTCCCTCAAGCTCCTGCTGCCACACGTCTTCCACCAAGATGGACTGCACTCTTGAGCTGTGAGCCCAAATAAACTTTTCTCCCTTGAATTTCATCTATATACACATCCCTTTGGGTATCTTTGAGACTCACCATTGGCAATTTCCATCTGACATGTGTCTGCTTTAGTCTGTTCCCAGTATTATTTTTATACTCCAAAATTGCCAATTTCCATAGACCTGCTTCACTTCAACAGGCATACTTTCTCATGACATTAAAAGCAAACATTTCAAGGCATGTGAAGATCACCAAGTTCCGCACTCAGTACCTGTCTCTAATCACAGATGACCTTCAATTTGATGCTGCCTCTTAGACACACTCATCTCTAAAATATATAATTAAAACACTTAGACTTGTGCAGTAACTGTCCTCTGCATCAGCAATCACTTACTTCTAATCTTTTGGGTCACTTCAGCTCTGGCACATTAATGTGCTCAGCTTCCTGAACACGCCTAAGATCTGCCAGTTCCAAGGTAAGATATCTTAAAAGCTCACCTCTGCTCCCATCTACACAATAAGCATCCTACACAAGGATGCTCTAGAAAACTTAGAGGATGAGTTGTCTAAATAGAAAACATTCACATTTTCAAATCTAATGCCTGGGAAGGTCAACATCAATGTAACTGAAGATTTGGGTTCTAGGAAGCACCATAATCCTAGTGTGAAGATAGCTGTCTTCCTTTTTATGTTTAAACATGAGGGAGAAAGTTGAGAACAGGATCAAGACCTCTATTCTCTCACTCTTTTTTTGAGGATTTAGCTTTTCTTTTAAAAATTCTTTGTTTTTTTCTGAGATTATAATATAATTTCATCTTCCCCCCCCCCCCCCGCTTCTCTTTCCTTCCCACAAGCCCTCCAACAAACCACTTCTTGCTCTTTTTCAGATGCTGTCAGTACGAAAGCCTGGGTGTGCCACTGTATAAAATAAAGAAAAAGTGAGGTTGGGAAACATCTCATTGGAAGATTTTAACACAGAGCCCCAGTATAGGTGACACAAGTTAGGACTGGAGAACAAGCCATATAGAAAAAGAACTTGAGAACTTTCAACCCAGGGAGGAAGTCTGTGGTAATCTGTAGGTATCAATACAGAGATAGAAATATGGAACACGAACACAGTTTGTCTTGATAGACTTGGTAAGAATATTAAAAATTCCATCTTATTCTTTCATTTGGTTTCATCATGTAGGCAATTTGGGGATTTCGAGGCACTGTCTCACTCTATAGTGCAGGTTGACTTTGACCTCTTGGTCTTCCTTCCTTATACCTGCTGGACTACTCCTTAATCACTGAGAAACATCCTCAGTTTTGTAAGAATCTTAGAAACTCAAGTCTGGGGAACAGAAAAATAGACTTAAGACCATGGGAGGTAAGCCAAGGAAAACAAGTTTTATTACAGAAAGTCATTCCAAGGGAAGAACTGCATTATTAAACACAGCCTGAGCTCGAGATAAGAAACAAGAATAATGCTGATGCCAGATAGTTCTTTGGGAACAGAGACCTAGAGCTATTCTAGTTCCACGTGACAGAAGGTTAACTAGCTCCACAGTGAGAGTAGAAATAATCCAATGATGGGAGCAAATGGGAGAGATAAGAAGATGAAGAAGTCAAGAGCGTAGAACAAAGCAGCATCTTGGCACAACACATACAAACACTTACTTAGCTCCCCATGTCTTCCAACTTTTCTCACGGACAGGAGAGAAATGGTCTGTAATAGCAACAGTTTAAGAGTGATTTGCAGAAAGAGACTTTGGTTTCAAAGTGTGCAAGGACAGCTTCTTGACAAACTTTGCAGGCTTAATAGCTGAGTCCTGCACTGACAGGAACTCCTTATGCTCTTCCTATAACAAAGAGGAAGACAACCAGGAATGGCGTAACCTAGTGATTAAGGCATTCTACTGACTTAGAAGGAGTGAAGGAAGAACTCAGGTTAGACTCATTGAGAACCTTTAGCCTGAGCAGAGTTTCCATATGGTTTTTTGTTTGCTTTTTAGCACAGCACACTATTCACATGGATTAGAATATCAAAATAGCTTGGAAAGAGACTTATTAGGATGCAAACAACAGTTCTAATGGATGACAATAATGAATATTTCTTCTCTCCTCTGTCTAAGGCCTAATATCCAATACTTAATGACCCTTTGCTTACACATCCAAAGTGGTTAACAAAAACAGAAGCTACTCCATGTAGGTTAGAAACCATGCATCAGTCTACTTCCTTTACAGTTTTTTCCTGAAGTAAGCTGTAGACCACTCTCACATGGGTCACCACCTCTCTGCTCTTTGCTCTTTGTTCCTCCAGAGATTGAAAATTATTATACTATTTGATACTGCTCTCTGTAAACTCTGTATCTGCTTTCCTCCTAAAGCTGTTAGACCAAAGTGTGTGCAATCATCAGAGCAACCCTAAAGAACACGCCAGTCAGCTGGACCTCAATCTTTATGTTCTAGTACCCTAAATTATTACTCTTTAACAACTACATTTTGAAACTATATTTAGAAAACTGCAAGTTGCAGGAGATTATCCTTTTTATCTTATAAAGATAATTATTGTTTAAGGATATCATGTCCCTGAGTCTTACAGGTTTTTCTTCATTAATTTGTGATTTTTCTAACTAAAATTAATTCACACTGCAAGAATTAAAATTTTCTAGGAAATTAAGCATAATTATGAAAGCATGTACAGTGTAGTGTACCACTCTACTAACACAATTTTGTTCAATACATGTGGCCTTTGAATACACTCAGTAAAGTGTACACTGAACTTTAACTTTGAGAAGTATGTGATTTGGGATGAGAAAAACAGGCATAAATCATTTTTAATATTGAGGTCAATTTACTGTATAGAACAAGGACTACAAACTGCTTCTAAACAACATGCATTCATTATATATTAAATGGCAAATATGGCCCTAAAGTTATGTTGGATATCCAAGGGTCCAAGAGTTCTAACAACTTCAAAGTATAGAGAAAATTCAAGTCCTGTCATCTAGCTTATTTATTCATATATTCATTTGCTTCTTGCTTTAAAATGCACCTTATTTCACCATACATTAGGATCTTATGCCTCTGTCCATCTCTTAGGTCTGCTTGCCTTTTCTTTACTTGACTTACACACTGTCTCTCCTCCTTACAGCAGAGATGATGGTTGGCTACAACTCAGTTGAAATATAGATTTTCCTCTCTCCTCCAGGAGAGCTCCTAAAGGGAATGTGGTCATCTCAGCCCAATCCCTACGACTGAGGAAAACGTGGAAGTGCGAGTTAGTAGATTCCAACCCATGGTGACTATTTATTAGCAGTGATCATCCTTACTAAATGTACTTGTAGTGTGTCATTATGACATATCAGAGTTTCAAGTGTAGACATCTTTTTTTATTATTTTTTATTTATTTATTTTTTTGGTTTTTCCAGACAGAGTTTCTCTGTGTAGCTTTGGAGCCTTTCCTGGAACTCGCTTTGTAGACCAGGCTGGCCTCAAACTCACAGAGATCCGCCTGTCTCTGCCTCCCAAGTGCTGGGATTAAAGGCGTGCACCACCACCGCCTGGCTAAGTGTAGATATCTTTGACATAGAATCTCTATTGGTCTAAATGGGATTGGAGGCTCCTGAGAAGTTAATAGATCATCATACATTGGATTTTTAATTTTTTTTTATTCATTTTACATACCAATCACAGCTCCCTCTCCTATCTCCCCTCCCCTACCATTCCCATTCCTTTCTCCAAAAGGATAAAACCTTTCATGAGGAGTCAACAAAGCCTGGTACCATATAATGGATCTTTAAGCTTTGTTTTTAGTGACCATTAATTAAAACCAAACTATAAGTACTAAAGAAAAACCTAGTCATATGCTTGAGATTTCAGTTAGCTATACTTCCCCAAGTTCTACACATCTGATTTCAGTAATTCTTGTTACCTCCAATCTGTAAAACTTTAGTGATATGTTCTTTTTTTTTTTTTTTTTTTAGAATTACAGAAGGGAAGATTTTTTTTTTTTTGGTTTGCTTTGTAAGTTATTTGCACCTTGTATTGTTTTGAAAGTGCAGCAGTATATAAACAGTTACACACTCCCTAAATCTTCTAAACATCAAACTAATCTTTATATAACTGTTAAAAAGAAAAGACACCAAATATTTCAGCTTCAAGCATTTTGTTTCTATCCTATGCCGGTTACTGAACTAGCTTTGTTAAAAAATACTGGCATATTGAGTGAGAAAAATATAATAAGAATCTGGAATGTAAAAAAATATGTCTTTTATTTTCCAATTAGATGTTTGTCAACATCACATTCTTGTTATCGAAGTATTCAAAAAGATTAAGTCCAGCATGTACTGAAGGGGGCATGATTTGCCTATGAATTTAGATGGTTCAAGTGGTAGGTGTCCACCACATGCCTACTGATTCAGAACTCTGGGCACAAGGATGAATCATCTGTGTTCCAATGAGCCCCTGCCCTTGTGTGCTGGATGCACTGCTGATGTATGGGGACCTTAAGAGCCATTGATGTTAAAACTTTCTTTCCATGCAGACCTTTTTAACATAGCCAAGGGAATAATGGATTGCAATCCTTCCTAATTAGTATCTAGACAGAAATTTATGTAAGTGATTTAGCATAATCAACTCCACGTGCTTTTATTTCCAACCATAGAATATATCCCTGACTTCCCAACTCAGAGTTAAAGAAGTATTTCTTGACTTTCCTTTTTTGTGCATGCTGATGACATTCTAATTCGACGTGGATACCATTTTATCCATGTTTTCCACATGATATGTTTATCCCTTTGAGAAATGTTTTTCTCTGCCTCAATGGCTCCTCTGTAAACTGAATGGGATATTTTTATAGTGTGATTTTTCATTGACTGAAATTTCCAAATTCTCTCCCAACAACTCATTCAAACTACAAAACCCTAAAACACAGAACCAGGTCACTGAAAAAGTTATTTTTAGTAAACCACTAGTCATTGTTCGGCGATGCCTTACGGGAGACATTATCACCATTTTTTTGACAGAAAGTTCCAGTATATTATTCATAAATGTTAGACTCTTGACCTAGAAACCCAAAAGATGGAGTTAGTCTGTCATTTTGGGTACCAATCAGCTGGATCATCACTCACAAAATTTCATTTATAGTCTTCTATCAATAGGGTATATTCTGCTTAAGATTAATATGCCACAAAACCTTGTGTTAGATGGACGGGATCTATCAACATAGGTAAGATTAGCTTTATTTTAAAGTTAGGAGTGAAGTATCATCTTGCACATGCTTTGTAGTTTAACGAGAAAAAAATACTTACAGATATAGCTTGATCATATAACAACTTACTTAATAATTTATAAGCTGTTCAACGTTATACACAGTTCTACTGTAGATGTGTCAAGCATAAACCCTCATATGTTTGTGGGGTCTCTATAACTAGGTAAGACTAAACTCAACTCTTCTGGTGGCAAATGATAATTAGCTGCGTCAATTAAGAAAACTCTTCTGAGCATGAGGCAGTCTCCATTTTCAGTGCTGTTGCTAAGTTAGTATTGCCATTTCACCCTCCAAGTTCTAGGAAAGACATTCCTTACATCCACCCCCTGTTGACAGTATGCTTGACCAAACCAGCTTTGAGTACTTAATTATGTTCCAGGACTGAAAGTGGATCTGAGGTGATTCTGCAGGAAAGCATCCATTGTTAGGGGAGAATAGAGATGGATTTCTTCAAATGCTAATTTTTCTAAGTCTGAAATGCTAATTATGGAAATTCCATTCCTGTGAAAACCAGGGGTATTCTGTTGAGGACTTTGTGCCCATACTGCTCCTAGGGATCCAAATTTATTTTATAGCACTTTCTAGGCTTCAGATCCATTTATATTTGTTCTTCATTTTCCTGACTCTTGAGACTTAACCTTCCTTCCCAGAGTGCTTTGGGTTTCCTGTGCACACACTTTGTTATCTTTTCCATACAAAAGTTCTCCCTAATTCCTCACCACAGCTCTTTGTGATTAAGCCTGCTAACCAGTCTAAACTAGAGCCTCAGTTTTTCTATGCACTTCATAATGGCGTGTCTATCAATAAGGTAAGACATACACAATGGTGGTTCCATTACACTATAGCAGAGTAGAAAAATCTATAACTAAGTAACAGTATCACCATAGTAATGCTGCAGCATATGTCCAACTCACATATTTGTGGTAATGTTACCATAAATGGACATTCAATAAATACTACTAGTCTTAAATGTGTTACATATAAAATGAGCTGTACACACTTGAAACTGACAAGCAGTATTTACTGGTCTAAAGTACTGTGTTGTTTCTATTTCATATTCTAAAAACAACTGAACTCTTATTGTACAAATTATGTTTACTACAAAACAATATGCCTCACTACTCCAGTAGTATCATTAGATATTTTGTGTGTCTGGGCCCTTAACTGTAGAGAGAAGCATCATCTAATGATGGTCACACAAGTAAATAA